CCATCTCTGCTCGTAAAAGGACACAACACAACAACAGTAACACAAAGTAAAGGCGAACCATACACCCCAAGACGCCCTTGCGATTGATCACTGTGTTTGCCTTCCTCTTTGCGGGTACTCTGAGAGCAAGGCGGCTTACGCTCTCAGTCTAAGTAAAGTGCAAGCGAGACAAAGAACTGCATTGATAAGAAGGGAGAAAACGCGAGAGAGGGCAGCAGCTACTGTTGAGAGAATAACTGCTTATGAAACAAATGCTCTCCACTCCACTCCCCACCACTCCACTCCCAAGGTGTTTGCCTATAGTACACAATGCCCTTTTCGTTTTGCTCTCTCTCTCTCTCTCTCTGCTCTGGGAATTAATACACTTTGTCCTTTTGCCGCGTCAAGCATAAAACTAGTTCCAGCAGTACCTCTAAAACGCTGCACAGTTTATGGAGCACTGGTGTTCAAGCGGCTTTCAAGCTTCACCGAACGGCACACTTCCACTGCAGATTTATGATCATTTCCACACCAAACAATCAATCAACAAAATCGCAAAAATATCATCTATAAACTATTTTTAATTCTCCAACTAGAAATTCCGTTCAGTGTGTGTATATTTTCTTCGGTATAATTTATGTTGTAATTTTTAAAAGTCTCTTGTCTTGCTCTGGGCAGGGGGTTTTCGCTTGTCAGTTCGGGGCCAGCGATTTGGTGTTTTTGGATCGTTTTTTAGCATAAAGATTTTAATCGCATAGCGAGACGAACAAATTTGTCAATATTTAGAAAAAAGTTTAACATAAATTTCCACAGAAGCAACACAACAAAAACGTGGTTTGGGGCGAAAAAATAGAGATGGCGACAAATGATTTTTTTAGATTTATACACAAAACCAGCGACAGTTCAAGTACGTTCGGAGGGGGGGGTTTTTTTTCGTTTCGTTCGTTTTTTAATAGAATTATAGCAATACACATGAATAATTTGGTAGTTGTTACCCACTTAAGTTGAACAAACAGATTTGTGATTTGGTTTTTTAGCCGAGAGTCTGATTGTGCCTGGTGCTTGGTGCCTGGTGCCTGGTGCCTGTGTCTGGGGCTGTTGTTTTGGAAGCGCATTAAACGCGACTGAAGGAAGGATGGAAAGCGTGACGTAGACCGGCGACAGCTTGCGGCTATGGCAACAACAATAGAAACTCATATCGTTCTCCTGTCTGCCGTGCCGTGTCCTTTGCCCGCCCAGGCGTCACCACCAGACCCGAACGTACATAAGCCCTTCCACACGCAACGCAACCCCTAAGCAGACGCAAACTTTTTCCTGCTGGCAACGCTGTCCTCGTTCAGCTCTCTGCGTGGCGAGCCAGCGAAACAAAGGGAGAGTGGAAGCCAGACCAACGGTGCAGAGAGAGAGAGAGCGCGCCTTGGAAATACAATCCTCCTCTCCCAGCCAGCAATGCAACAGGCTTCCCACATCAGAGCCGAGCAACCCGAGAGCAAACCCGAGGAGCGCAGAGAACGAACCACCGTTGTTTCGCCAAGGACAAAAGTTTGTTTAGCTAATGGCAAGTCCGGTGGGAGACTGGTGGATGCCCTCCTTGCGGGGAAGATGCAGGAGCGGGGGTTGTACATTTTGTTGGGATAGGACTGGTGTGGGTAAGATTCTATGACTAATGGAACTCAGGTTGTGACAGGTGTACTAGGAGGAACCAACACTACTCGGAGCTAAGAAATGAGGGCATTTGAGTTCATTAAGTGGACAGAGTGATGGTAATATGATATACAGTCGAACTTTCCCAGCACGAATATGGTCTAGGGATCCTTTAGAAAGATTTAGAAAGACTCCACTCAGTCCAGCTCAGTCCATGGTTATATCAATTCAATAACCATATTATTTAATGGACTGTGCCACATCTGGCACAATCATCAAGCGACAAGTGTACAACCTCCCCCCTACAAATGTTAGCGGGTTATCGCCTCCGCTGCGCCCTAATAAGCCAATCATAATAAATGTCAAGCATCGATTTGGCTTCCTGCCAATGGGGCACTAGACCATATCATGCTCCTCACCCCACCTTTGCAGTCCCCCTGTCTCTTTTGGGGACTGTCAGTTCATCATTAGCTCGTTGCCAGCCAGCCAGCTGCTGGGGCGACTTTGTCTAGGGCTAATCATGAATGCTTAGCTGCCTGAATTGCTCATACGCCATGTGCTCTAGTATTTTTAGAGCAGCCCTCAGAAAGCATAAATCGAAGCTACGGGAGTGGGAACCGTTTAATTTATGTGTGTGTAGAATGGTTGCCAAACACCTGACATCAGTCGTCAGTCAAAATGATAAAGAGAAACTGCCCTATCTCAAATACCAATAGAGTTGAGCATGAGCCATCCTTAAGGCAATTTCGAAGACGAAGCAGAATGAAGTAGCTAAGATCTTCTCTAAATCCATTTATAGACATAAAGAGATACATATTTAGTATAACTCAATCAGATGGTCACCGAACAATGAAAAAATCGAAATCATCTTAAGCCCACAATTAATAATCAATTTGCGGCAATAACTAAACAAAGTAAATGAATTATGGCCAACGTGTGCCAAGGCAAAGCAAAACAACAACAAACAACTGTCTTGGCTCTTGGGTAACCAGTTTTCGTAGCTTATTTTCAGAGCACTTCAAAGCAATTCTAATGCAAAACAACTCCCATAGTGATATACATTATCCCCTGGAACAATAACAATAATAGCTCCGGATGGCATTAGCACTCTGTTCAACCATGTATTGTTACTTTTTGGGGGCTCGCAACTGGAATCAAGTTCAATGCGACTTGGCAACTGTGGACTGTGCTGCGGCGTGTGGATCTCCGCACAGAACTCGACTGCCGGCCCGGCAGTCTCATGAATATTTAAGGGTATTCTAGCACATTTTGCATAATGAGTTGAGATATGTATGTCTTTGTGCATATAACGGGTTAAAGGAAGTGAAATTTTTGGCTTCGGAGAACCTTTGTAAGGCCGCTTTGATAAGAAGAAATTTGGAGGAGGCCTGTCTGTCCCACTTGGGCAAAGCGCAATTCATGTTTGTTGATTGCATAAATTCAGTATCAGTATTGTGGAAAATATCGCCACCTGTTCTAGTAAACAAATTTCTGCAATCTCCGCTTAAAATATGCAAACAGCAATGACAACAACAAGACCAACAACAGCCAGATACTTAAGATATTCCGATATATATAGCATCGGAATGAAATAAACAAAATACTAGTTTGGCTCTTATTTAAATTAGTACAGGATTTTCACCTGATCAACTTGGTGGAGGCTGGGGCCCTATATAAAGCTCCGATTTGCCACAGCTCAGGCCATAATCAACTTGTAGATCGTGTAAGATCAACGGAACGTAGAAATCTTTATCGCGTGTGAGGAGAGGATTTGCATAAATTGAGTCTGAGTGATAATGGTAAATGTGAAAAGTGTTCCATAAGAAAAGAACCAACGTGGTTGTGCGTGAAATATTTTGGCTGATTCTTTCACGAATATTTGAAATCTCTGTTGAATTAAACATCAGTACACCGTGAAAGTTATGTTGTGATGACGATGACCCATCTATCTTTAATATTGTAGATCCCTAACCTATTTTTTCCATTCTATTTCCGCTGTGCTAATAGACCAGCTATACTGACAAAGGAACCAAAGTAAGATCTAATGAAAATTCACTACATAAATCACAAGATTGTAACTGTTCCTGTACTCTGTCCAGCCTGAAGCCGGCAAATTCCTAAGCTTTGATCACTTAACGTTTTACGTTGGTAACGCCAAGCAGGCGGCCAGCTACTATACCACCCGTCTGGGCTTTGAACCACTTGGCTATCAGGGATTGGAGACCGGGGAGCGACGCTTTGCCAAGCATGCTGTGCGCCAGAACAAGATCGTCTTTGTGTTCGTCTCGGCCTATACGCCGGACGATCGCGAGCATGGCCTGCACTTGATGCGCCATGGGGATGGCGTCAAAGATGTAGCCTTCGAAGTGGAGGATTTGAATGCAATATTTACCCTGGCCGTGTCCAGAGGTGCCGAGGTGGTGCGCGACATCTGGGAGGAGAGCGATGACAATGGATTCGTGAGATTTGCCACCATCAAGACGGTAGGTGGAGCAAGCTGATAACCAAAGACAGTTCCTCGCATTAATACTCGTCATTTAGTATGGGGACACCACTCACACCTTCGTGGAACGCAAGGGCTATGCGGGGGACTTTCTGCCCGGCTTCCAGCGTTCCCCTCAGGATGCTGTGTCCAAGAACTTGCCAGCGACCAAGCTGAACTTTATCGACCATGTGGTCGGTAATCAGCCCGACCTTCAGATGGAGAGCGTGGCCTCTTGGTACGAGAGGATTTTGCAGTTCCATCGATTCTGGTCTGTGGACGATTCGCAAATCCACACCGAGTACTCGGCTCTGCGCTCCATTGTGATGGCCAACTACGAGGAGACCGTGAAAATGCCCATCAATGAGCCGGCCAATGGCAAGAAGAAGTCCCAGATTCAGGAGTATGTGGAGTACTATGGCGGCGCAGGTGTGCAGCACATTGCCCTCAATACGGATGACATTATCCAGGCGGTTAGCAATCTGAAGGCGCGTGGCACCGAGTTTCTGGCCATACCGGCCTCCTACTACGAGATCCTGCAGGAGCAGCTTTCGCACAGTCGCACCACAATCAAGGAGGACATGGAAATACTACAGAAATTGAATATTTTAATTGACTTTGATGAGAACGGATACCTTCTGCAGATCTTCACGAAGAACTGCCAGGATAGGCCCACTCTCTTCCTCGAAGTGATTCAACGCCACAATCACAATGTAAGATGATTGCTTTACTGATTCTAAGAACACTTTATTCCTAACACAATCGTTTCAGGGCTTTGGCGCCGGCAACTTCAAGTCCCTGTTCACGGCCATCGAGATTGAGCAGGCCAAGCGCGGCAATTTGTAAATTATGTATAATAATATCAAATTATAAATATATTGAATTATCCAGGTAATTCAATGGAATGGCATCCGATGTTATTTTTATTTTATCGCTGGTCTCTAAAGCGAGTGTCAATCAACACCTCATTGCGTGGATCGTCTTCGGCAAAGGAAACCATGTGGGGATTCCAGAAGCCTGGCGGCGACCCAGTTCGCTCATTGTTGTGTTTACATTTGCTCAAATAGAGTTGGATCTTTTCATCATTCAGGTTGGAGCCCATGAAGTTGATAAACTAGAAACGGAAAGGCGGCTTTACATGCTGTACACCAAATGGAACTGTGTTTTGGGGCACTCACCTTTTCGCACTCCTCGCATTCAATGTTAAGCCGCTCTTTGAGTGTCAATTCAGGTTCCTCCTTTACCATAATGGGTCGTGGAATCTCGTCGTCAGATTCCTTGCTGTCGTCTTCCTCCATCATATATTTTTCAATATCTTCAGAAAGTCTCGTTGATTCATTGCCGTGATCTTCGTTTGGCTGTGTTATTGGCTCATCTTTTATGGCTCCGACTGGTGCTAGAGCAGTCGGAACTTTCTGTGGATTGGGTTGAACGTGTTTCTGTTGGTCAATCATTATCTTCTCGTACTGCAGTAAGGCAGACGAACAGGCATCGTCGTCCTCTTTCATAATCTCCGCTAGAACATCCATTGTGCCGATTTTTTTTATGTCTTCGCTGCTATCATTCACGAAGATTATGTCCTGTGTGGCAGGAGTGAGTATGACTACGCTCTCGCTTGAGTTGTCTATCTTCAGGTGCGGAGGTGTAGCAGGTGGCGGCATTACGGGTAGTTCGAGGCTGACGTCAGGCAGACTGTCGATCCCAATGAACTTTTCTACGTCCATGTGAAAGCTAGGGTCGGTGTTTTTGATGTTGACACTGTTGCTCCTGCTCAAGACAAAGTTGTCTTCGTTTAAGGCGTTGCCTATGTCGGCTCTGCAAGCTTGGCGTTAGATATTACACAGGGAAAGACACGGGTTTATTCGATAAATACCTTTGCAGCAACGAGCGAGACGCCGGGGCACGTTTCGATCCTGGGCTTGGGTTGGGACTTTCTTCTATCACATCTTTTTCGCTGCCACTTGCCTTGTTGCCATCGAATTTGAGACGAGTCTGTTTAAATTGCAGGCTGCTACCTCTGTGCGTCAATGACAGTTTGGTCATCATTCCGATATTCTTGGGTGTCTTCCGGAGCCAGCTTTGGCTCACACTGGTCACGTTATTGGGCTGTACATTCTCTAAATTCCTAACATCAGGCTTGCGATGATGTGGCCTGAGCTTGCGAGGACTGCCAATGGATGGAGCCTCGGTTTCCGCTATGCTTTCGTCTTCCTGCTCTTCTGTGTCTTCATCAGAGAGCTCTATGCTGTTGAGTGCTATATTCATGTTCAGCGAACTCTGACTTTGCGGAAGCGGTGAAATATCTTCCTTGGACTTCTTGGGCGACACTTTACGTCGCTTGTCGTCATGGAGAACGGCCAGCGATTCCTGACGTTCTTTTAGGAGATCCACAGCCCTGTGCAGCTTTTCATTTTGAGCTTGCAGGCTTCCAATAGTCTTGTCCTTCTCCTCCGCCTCATGTTGCATCACTATATGGAAAACCTTTCTAATTATATTCCCAAAAAAATGTACTTTAACTTACTTAAGGCGTGCTCTTTAATCGTATCCAGCGCTGCTATGAGACACTTTATACCTTTGTCTTTGCGCCCACGACATGCTCCACAAGTCATTTTGGCGTCGTTAAGAAATGATTACCTATACTATATTTTAGTTTATTTATTTGTAGAAATGTATTAAATTATCTTTTTCAAGCTACGATAGTTAGTTGTCCAGCACTCTATAATGGCATTCGACAGTGCTGGAAAAATTCAGATGATATCGATATGATACCAGCTGATTGGAGTATCGATAGTCGATTTAGCTAAAATCGTGTTAGATTTTATTTTTCAGCCCGAGAAACTTAAATTTATTAAAGAAACCGAGCTTTTCAGCATGGCACACTTGCGGGAAACCTCGGACAAGGCTTTGAAGCTGTTGCGAACGTTGCCGCGCGTGCAAATTGGAAACCTGCGACCAAATCCCAACTCCAAACAGAACGTGAGTGCTTTGCCTGACCGGTTGAATAACAACTTTTGACATACCCGATCCATTCAATCCTCTGCAGGACAAGCGCGGGCGGGCGCAGCACGGCGGTGATAAGCATGGAGCTGGCAACAAGGGCTCCGGACAACGCCAGAACTTTATGCGTTTGGGCTATGAGACGGGTAATCAGCCCTTCTACTTGCGGTTTCCCTATGAGCCGTATTACAAGGGCCACCACATGAAGCGCCAGTACCCACCGATCTCCCTACTGCAGCTGCAGGTGCTGATTGATACGAACCGAATAGATATCAGCCAGCCCGTAGATATAAGTACGCTGTGCAACTCCGGTTTGTTGAAGCTGAAGCCTGCCGAAATGGAATATGGATTCCAGCTGACCGACGAAGGATTGGACAACTTCAAGGCCAAGATCAATATTGAGGTACAGCATGCAAATGAGGCGGTAATTGCAGCCATCGAGCGCAACGGGGGTGTCATTCGTACAGCCTACTACGATCCTCGGAGCCTCCACATGCTCGCCAATGCGAAAAAGTGGTTCGAGAAGGGTGTCCCGATTCCTTATCGTATGATGCCGCCTCAGGACGCCGTGGACTACTACACAGATGCCAAGAATCGTGGATATTTGGCAAATCCCGAGGAGATCAGCAAGGATCGACTGGTGCTGGCACAGAAATACGGCTATCAACTGCCCCGCATTGAAGACGACTCTGCCTATGAGATGCTCTCAGCCACCAAGGATCCGAGGCAAGTGTTCTATGGCCTGGAACCCGGTTGGCTAATTAATGTTGTAGACAAAACAATAATGAGGCGCAAGAAATAGTTATTTGTGTTACTATGCATTTTGTTAATAAAGATTTGATTTTAAAAAGCTTTTTTAGACTATGATAAGAAGGACATCGACTTGTCCTTGTCCACTAAATTCTTGTATGTCTCTTTCTTATATAAACACCTGCTTGGCCGACAGGTTCTCCATGAACGGCTTAACCACAGCGCTCGTGGCAAAGCAGAATATCAAGCCAAAGGTGATGGAAATGGGCAGGGCTGGCAAAGCCTTGCGCCAAACGGCCAGGAGTAGCAGCGTGAGACAAAGTCCAATCAAGATGGCCACAAAGCATGCAATCGTTGTGGTCCAGTCGCCATAACTGGAGGCTTTACCCACTAATACCGAGTAGAAGATGAAGTCGCCGAGCCCCAATTTGATGCCACCTGAGAATCAAATTCCTTATTAATTTCTAATGGCCGCAGGAAACACCCCGGTTAAACTTACGCTCCTCCTGGGCATCTGCTGGGGCCTGATCTGGTGCTGTGACAGTACGATACTCGTTGGAACGTTGGGCATTGCCGCTCTGTGTACTCTGAACTTCAATCTGACGACGTGCCACGCGATCATTGAGGTTGTCAGACCATTCCTGGGTGAAGCCTGCTGCCTCAGCTGGAAGTAAGAGCATAAGTGTTAAATATTGGGGAGCATATTTACAGCTCCATACGATATGTATACATCTCAAAATAGAGTAATGTTCTACTAGCAGCACCTTATACCATATACCCACAACGAAACAAGACATAAGAGAAATACGAGTACTTATAAGATCAAACACACACAGATAGGCCAATAAGAAGCGTTGTACACATGGGAGAAGTAAATTAAATCATAAAAAATATAATGCATATGTACCGTTTCCGCGCAAATTGCTTTTAAAAGTCACAAGTGGCATACCTTCAGCTGCCATTACGTTGCTATCATCCCGCTGATTCTGGTGAGGATGTGTTCGAGTATTACCTGAGCGGGAGCTGCTGCTGGCCACAGCTGCCTCTGGGGATGCCAGAGAGTTTTGTGTGGCTCTCGTAGTTGTAGTCGAGTTGCTCGACGAGGGCGATGAAGTGACTGCGGGCTCCGCCGATTGTTGCGGTGTATAATGTGTGCCCATAAGCGTATAAATAACAGTGGCTGAACAAATGGAAGAATTCTATAATTCGAATGATCTGCAGCTGGCTGATAAGAGTCCTTACATGAGTAGATCAGAGCGGGGAAAATTTGCTCATTTCGTTCCTGAGCAGTTTCCACTAATATGCGCAGCGGTCCTCTTGGTGTAAGGACAGCTATGAGATCTGTCAACACATGAATCGGTTTAGTAAAAAAAATGTATGCCAAACCCGCATTTATCTTCACCCCAAATAGAAATTGCGGCCAAGACAGCCCAGGCAGTCCACTCTGGGAGATATTTAATAAAGACCAGTGCCATGAGGGCTGCAACGAATATGAGGTATCCCTGTTGCAGACGCAAAGGTCCCTGCCAATGTATGGACATCATTCCAGCCACACCAAAGTTCCACATAAAGAGCAGGGCAGTGGGGTAGTCCATGGGTACGTTGTAAGCGCGCAGGAGCTCCCTAAAAGCCATAGATGCCATAGAATTAGATTGCACCAAATTGAAGAGATCGGCTATACTTACTCCAAGTATAAGTACGTGAAAATGAACAGGAGCATGAACGAAGAGAGAATTAACCAACCATGGATGATGCGGTAGCAACGCTTCTTATAGAGGACTATCAATAGAATAGTCATCACAACCACCACGCTCATCAGAATCAATGAATTGGCCAGAGCATTCCAGAATTTGACACTGGGCTCCGGCGAGAGCTCATGGAACGGAGTGTACAGACTGCAATTAACAATTGGATTAGTGACGAATCTCATCTACAAATATCTCTCTCTGTCTTACAGATAGACATCAGTGCTGGAGTAGAAGCTGATCGAGTTGATTGTGGCCACCACCAACAGCATGCACAAGGAGACGGGCACAAACAGTTTGATGACATGCTGGGCGCCGTATTTCAAGCCCTGATCCTCTTCTGTTTCATTTGGGGGAGGTCCGGCGCCACCGCCACCGCCGCCGCCGCCACTTAATCTTGATGGTCGAGAAGCCGAAGAGCCCCTTACCGCCACACTGGGGACGGCAAGTACAGCCTGGCAAAGAATCACAAGAATCAAGTCATCTGAACCGCCCACAGAATCGTATGATTAACCTACCGCATCTGTTTGATCCTGATTATTGGAGCCATAATTGCCCCTTTGTTGTGTTCGCTTTGGAGGACGCTCCAAACGCTCTGCTGCGCCGCTCAGGCCACTACCATCAGCGCCAGCGCCACTCCTTGACGAGGACGAGGCATTGACATGGCCGTCCATGAGCGGTGTGCGTTCGGTTGCCTCCTTAGCGCTCGACGATTGCCACTTTGAAGCCGTAGTTGTGGGTTAAAGCACTTCAAAAGAATGTACCCAGTGAGTGTTGGTTGAGGATTTGACCCGATGGGAAAATTTTCTTTAGTTTTTTGCAGCAGACAGAGCGATTCATAGGCTAGTGATGGGCGAAAATAACTGCAGCTTAGTAATCGATTGCAGAATAATTATTTAGATTACATTTTGTATGCCAAAATATAATAGCTTTACTAGGGGAATCTAATTAAAGTGCAATTTATTTCTTTTAACTAATACTCATGCTATAATTTACATAATTTTTACTTTGTTTAAATGATATCGATGAATCGCTGTCCAGCCGATAGTTATTCTGGTCATCGGTCACAAGTGAATTTGTTGCAAAAAGTTTGATATTAGCGTTAAAAATGCTGAATCAACAGTTTGCACAGGCTGTTTAATTCATAAAAGTGGACATTAGCCCGACCCAAAGGTTTTTTTGAAATATGATCAAGAAGTGAGAGCATTTCCAACCGGCCTTCTGTTTGTTTTTGTTGTTGTGGACCTAAGAACTCTACAAGATATTTCATGCCATTGCGAAGAGCAGCAGCGCGTCGAATTGCTGAATATTGCACATAGAGTCGCTTCGTTAGCTTACGCAAGCAACTTGCCAGTCGACCAGTTTCGATGACCAGTCGTTAAGCGCCAAAGACAGATCTTCCAGATACAAATAAACGCAAAATGAAACACTTGCTACTGGTGCTGTTGGCGGCGGCAGTAGCAGCAGCCGGCGATTCGTCCCGCCATCGCCGCGTCGCCATTGACGTGGACAATAAGAATGCGGGGGCCAGGGAAATGCACAGCATCATCGATTTGCCAGATTGCCAGGATTTGAAGAAATTCTGCACCCACCAGAAGTCCACCGACAATCTGTCCATGCTGGAGTGTGCCCTCACGTTCAGTTCCAGCCAACTGGAGGCTCTTCCCGAAACCTGCCAGCACGCCCTTTGGATGCAGCAGCGGCAGCTGCAGCTTCCCGCATGGATTGAAAACACACTCCTGCCCACATACTGCCCAGAGGAGCGGGCAAAGCTCGAGACCTGCCTGAACTCTGTGTACATGTGGAACTGCCTGGAGGAGCAGCGCCTGCAGCTCTCGCAGAGCAACACGTGCCAGCAGCATCTCCGGAGTGCCTACAATGCTCTGGGCCACGACTACACCAACGTGGATGAGTTCTACGTGGCCTGCAGCAGCCTCGTGGAGCACCACAAATGCGGCCGCCTGAATGTCGAGCACCTGCCGTCGCTTCTGTCCCAGCTTGGAACGGTGCAGTGCCTCCGGTCGACTGCTCAGAAGTCCACCATTGAGCCCACTTGCATGTCCGCCATGAATGCCATCGAACTGCAGCGCGGAATGCTCGAATTGTTCAGGATCTGCTCGGAGGACCTCGCTTCGCTCTGTTCACAGGTGAGGGGGAATTCTGTTTGTTTTGATCGGAGCCTCAGTAACACATTTTATTTAGGAGCAATCCGGAACGCCGGGAGCGTACAAGTGCCTGGTGCGGCACAAGAGCCATCCATCGATGACGGCTAACTGCGCGTCGCAGATCTCAAAGCGGGATCAACAGATGGGCCGCGACTACCGCGTCTCGCACGGCCTGGCCAAGGCCTGCAAGGATGACATCAAGCTGTATCACTGTCGCCGCGGTGTATCCGAAGATAAGCATGTGCGACTGGCCCAGATTCTGCTTTGTCTGGAGACTGTATCGAAGAACGGCACCAAGCTCGCGCCTTCCTGTCTGGTGGAGCTGACCGACCACCGCCGCATGCTGATGACAGACTACCAGCTGTCGCCGGAGCTGCTGAGTGACTGTGCCGATGACATACCCAAGTTCTGCCCGGAAGAGCACAAGGCCCAGCTGGTGAATGGCCTGTCCGGCACTGGCGGAGAGATTATCCACTGCCTGCTGGAGCATGTGAAGGCCAGGCGGCCGCAGAGGCGCGTCACGGCCCAATGTCAGCGCGCATTGGAGACTTTGATCAAGGTCAGCGATGCCGGCGAGGATTGGCGTGTGGACCCCGTGCTGAGGCGTGCCTGCAAGCCGGTGGTGGACGTGGCCTGCAAGGATGTGGAGGGTGGAGAAGCCCGGGTCATGACATGCCTCGTCGAACGCATCGGCACTCCCTCGATGCTGCCGGAGTGCGAGCAGGCCCTTCTCATCATCGAATACTTTGTGGCGCGCGACTTTAAGCTGGATCCGCAGCTGTACAAGCACTGCCGCGACGATGCCGTCAAGTATTGCCGGGCCAAGCGGCAGTGGGACGATGTACAGAACGTGCAAATGGATCCGGAGCGCGGCCCTATGATACTGCCCTGTCTGCATCGCATGGCCTTCAGCGAGGACGAGCAGCAGACGCTGCGGAAGGACTGCTTCAAGGAGGTCAAGCGGGTGATGCGCCAGCGAGCCATGTCCATGGACCTCATACCCGAGGTGGAGGACTATTGCCTGAACGATCTTTCGCTCTTCTGTGCGGAGTGCGTGGAGAAGGGCAGCGAAATGGAGTGCCTGCAGAAGAACATGGACCAGCTGCAGCCGGAGTGCAAAACGGTTGTGGTCAAATACACCGAGGAGGAAGCAGCTCATGTCGAACTGAACCCCGTCATAATGAACGTCTGCGGCGAGGCCATGCAGCAGCACTGCTCGGCCATTCTCAAGAGCGGCAAGGATAATGGTAAGCTGGAACGAATCGAAACCCTTTTTGCATCTGATTGAGTTCCGATCCTCTCGCATAGGCGACATGATGGACTGCCTTATAGCGCACAAAAACGACGCCGATCTGCGCAAAGATCTGCGCTGCCGTGCCGCCATCGAACACTTTCAGATAATCTCGCTGAAGAACTTTCATTTCACGACCAAATTCAAGGAGGCCTGCCGTCCATTTGTTCAGCGCTTCTGCTCCTCCAGCATCACCAAGAACGATGTGGTCGGCTGCCTCAGTGAGGTGATGCGCAACGATACAATCAAGGCGCAGCGCCACCAGATACCCAAGGAGTGCCGCCATCAGGTGAAGTCGCAGCTGTATCAGCAGAGGGAGAGCATCCAGCTGGATCCGAAGCTAGCGAATGCCTGCAAACGGGAACTGGAAGAGTTCTGTGGGGACCAAAAGGGTCCCGGTCAGGTGAATAAAAATGCAAGTTCTCTTAACCATCCTTAATCTATCCACAATCTATTAACACACACTCACCGGCACCCCACCGTCCAAGCCACACGAAGTTCAGCCCCAGAGCAGGCTCTGATTGCTTTCGACATCTCTTCTATTGCAGGCCTTGGAGTGCCTTATCAAGAAGACCCCCAGCTTGGGCAAGACCTGCCATCACGCCATATTCATGATCAAGAAATCAGAGCTGGGCGACAGCGGCACCGACTACACGCTCCTCAACACGTGCAAGGAAATGATCTACAAGTTCTGCCCGAGCACGGACTCCGCGAAGCTCCTGGACTGCCTCAAGACCTACAAGGATGACACGCAGTTCGACCAGCGCTGCCATCTGGTTGTGGTCAATCGCATGATCGAACAGAACACGGATTTCCGCTTTAATCCCTCGCTGCAGAGTGCCTGTGGCAAGAACATTGATAGCTACTGCTCCCATATTGTGGCCAGTGCGTTGCCCAACGAGGAGCTCAATGGAAAGGTGAGTGTTTCACGTCTTTATCCATCTCCCGGATCTCTATCTATGAAAGATACTCACCGAATTATTGACCATTGGAATAATGACCTTTGCTCGCGCCAGTCATGAAAAAAAAGCTGTGGGGCACAGGTTCTAAGATATAGCGCTCTATTTAGGAAAATTACTACGAGTATATATAGCCCTTATCTACCGTTCCACTAAATTTAGCACGCTTTGATAAGTATTATACCCAGAAATGGGAAAAGTAGCCGTCTTGCCTTTCCGTTCTCCCATCTAATTTATAATTCCCAAGTAACCCACCTTAAAAGTCCACATTCTCACGCTGCAGCCTCCCATTGTCGGGATCATCGATGGCCGACGTGAGAGTCTCCAGCAGATCCTCGCCTGTCGCTATGTTCAGAGCCAGCCGATTGTAGGGTCCACTGGGGCTAGACAGGGGTCGCAGTTCCTTGGGCCTGCCATCGATGGCAAACGAAGTCCACAATTCGACCATTTTCTGGGACATACGCGAGTCCTGCCCCACCAGGGGATGTGTGGCGAACAGATACAGATTCTCATTGGAATGGTGCACTCCCCCATTGAAGGGGTAGTGGTCGTTGCCGAACTCATAGCCAAACCGGGTGTACTTTCCCTCGTACTCGAAGCTGTACACGTAGACGGGAGCCGAGGGCTGCTGTGCGTAGAGTTTCGTGGCCAGCGCTATCACTGGCGACTTCATGTAGGCCGACGTAAGCTGTTTACGGAGGAGGGTAATGTGAAAATCATTCGGCTGAAAGGTTGAAAGGTTTTTCTTGTAGATCTGACTCACATCGAAGTAGGCGGGCAGCGCACCCTTGTGATCGTGACTGTTGAGGAGCTCTGGTGTGAAGAGCAAACGGTACAGCAGGTTGTCCGTGAGTCCGGTCCTATCATTGGCCATTCCCATGAGTCCCGCGGAGAACCCGCGCACCGTTAGGGCACTCACATTTGGAAGCTTTGCGGCAATCATATCGTAGTAGCCTACAAAAGCGATTCATTAGCTTGATCTCTACATCCATGTACTACATACTATATGTGCGCTACCCACTGGCCAGGATGAAGGAGCCATCGTGTTCCGTGAAGCCAGTGAGCAGTGGAATCTGCCGCTGGTAGGTTTTCACCAGCTCACTGGGATGCTGGGGCAGGATTCCCAGTAAATCGCCCACAACTGGAGAGAACGACTCCTCCTGGGTGGCCCTTAGGATGCTCGCGACCGAAGCGTTGCGCAAACAAACCCATAGCCGATCCTCCTGTTCGCATCCGGAGCAGAGCAGTTTCTCACAGATGCGTGTGGCCTGGGCACGGGGATCGCTATTGATGGCCCACCGGGCGAAGATCGAACCCGACTGGACAATGGCTCGTTTGAAGAGATGCTCTTCGGTGCGGGGACTCAACAGCAGGGCACTGGCCACCCCAGAGCCAGCGCTCTGGCCAAAGATGGTCAC